ACAGTGTCCTTTTAAGGCAGAGAAGAAATACTCCATAGGATTTCCATGCTATAAGCTCTGGTGGCCTAATGGTAAGGAGTCCTGCTGCCAACTCAAAGGCACATAGTTCAAACCCACAAGCTTCCCTGTGGGAGAAAGCTGGGCAGTTTCCTCTTGTGCAATCAGTTGCCTCTGAAAATCTGCTGGAGGGTCAGCTATGTATATCCAGTATAGCTATGCTATATATTCACTGGCATACAACAACTCCGTCTAACATACTCTGGACATGTTGTAAGGAGAGACCGGTCTTCGGAGAAGGACATCATGCTTAGGAGGGTGGAGGAACAGCACAGGAGGGGAAGGCCCTCTATAAGATGGATTGATTCAGTGATGGGGTTAATCAGGATGGGAGTGTCAGAGACAGTGCAACTGGCACAGGACAGAGCAGAGTTTAGGGTTGCTGTACATAGGGTCGCTATGAGTCGCAAGAGACTCGGCGGCACATAACAACAACAACAACAACAACAACAACAACAACAGCATAACTCATTGATTCAAGACATTTAACATAAAAAAGACACCCACTCCCAAATGATATTACAACTATAAGCATAGAGGTTAAGAATGATAATACATAGTTGGCATGACACAATTCAATTTGTAATTAATTTTCCCAATTTATACATCAATTTCAGATTATATATAAATAGTATAAAATACTTTTTTTGTCAATAGGGAAAGAATTTATTTAAGCAAAGATCATTCTGTTAAGGTTCTAAGAAGTTCCCAGGCCTAATTAGCAAAGATAATGGCAGAAAGATAGTGAAGAGCATGAAATAGAAAGACAATGACAAGTCCTCCCTTGTGGAATGAGGAGAAAAGACCTATAAAATATTTTTATAAAAAGCTAGCAGTTGTGCACTGAATTATCACTCATTTATTAACTCAATCCTTGCAATCACCCTGTTAGACATGTTTTATTATTAATCCCATTTTATAGATAAAAATATTGTGGTTTAGAGAAGCCAGGTAAATCATCCGTAGTCAGAAAGTATCACATCATAAACATTCAAAGCTTGTGCCATAAGAATCTCCTAAAAAGTATCCTAGAGTCTGTGCTGTCACTGGCAAATGATGATAATGTCTAAATAAATAGATCTTTTCCTTTAGAGATTGCCTGTATCATCACAGTGCATTTACAGTGTTTCTAACTTCTCAAAACTCTAGAGACTAACATTTCTGTTAGATAAAAGAGATCCATCAGTTCTGAAATTTGTCAGAATTGGTTCTTTAAACTCAATGGCAGTTAGTTATTAAATGATTACCAGACACTTCTACTTTTAGAGAAAAAAATATATATATACTCAATCAAAACACATTCACTTGCAACAACTTAAGATAAAAAGTTTCACACTATCTTTTCTTACCCTTTCTGTTTTATCTGCACAGAAGAGTCGTGTGTGATGTCTTTTTTGTACCACAATATAGGTTATTCCTGGTCGATAATCTTCTTCTAAGCTAATACATGCCTTTCGAATTGCTATTAGTTCCGGCCAAGCTACCTAGGAATAAGAAATGGAATGAAGCTTAATTTGGAACTCCCCTAGCATCTCTCAGATCTGATTTTCTCATGGTGGCAGATGGGACAAAGCTTAGACTCTTAGAAATTCAGAAGGGCAATGATGAAAGAACAAGAAATTACCTGTTTCATTTGTCCCTCAGAAACCCCTCCACGGTAATAGATGATCCGAGTGGGCTTGAAGCGGGTAGATTTGTAGAACTGAATCAGCAGCTCACGAACCATGTTAGTTAGATCCTGGATTACCTCCTGACTGTAGAGGAGCTCCTGGGAGATCTCTTGTCGGGAGGTCTGCACCCTAACAGTGGCACAGTATCGGCTGGGGTGGCCATCCATACTGCCAACGACAGCAGCAATGGAAGGCTTCTTCCCATCCCCTGCAGGGGGGTGTGTGACATCTGCTCCCAGGAAGATGACTGGCTGCTGGAACACCGAGGGCCTGATCAGATTTAAGGAGATGTTGCTGCTTTTAGACACTCACATGGAGATATCTGGGTCTCAGCCAAATCACAATAAAAAGTTAAAATTTTTAAAGAAGTAAGAAAGAAAAATAAACATAGAATTTTGTAAAAAGAAAAAATATCTGTGGCCACAGAGAGACAACTTTATGACCCACTATCTATGAATTGGAATTATCTTGATGATTGTGTGTATCTGTATAATGAGCCCTGGTGGTACAGTGGTTAAGGTCTGCCTGCAAATGAGATGGTAGGAGGTTCAGTGGGAGAGAGACATAGCAGTTTGCATCCATGAAGACTTAGCGCTTTGGAAACCCGTGGGGCAGTACCACTCTGTCTACTAGAATCACTGAATCAGAATCTGCTCAGTGGTAATAGGTTTGGATTTTAAAAAAAAATCTGTACATCCAAATATAATAAATTGGAATTGACCAAAGAAGTAAGCACTGCTCTTCAATAACATTAGGAAGAGGAGATTTATTTTAAAAAGAACATGAGAACTTAAATTAGGCAGATAGGATGCAAAGGATGTCTTTAAAGTGTTAAAAAGCAAGGTGTTACTTTGAAGATTAAGATCTGTTTGATCCAACAATGGTATTTTCAATTTCCTCACACGTGCATGTGGAAGCTAGACAATGAATAAGATCAAAGAAGAACTGCTGTCTTTGAATTATGGTATTGGCAAAGAATATTGAAAATATACAT